AAAGATGTATTTTCCCCAATATACAACCTATTGTAACAGACTTACAAAGAGTGAAAATAGACAGTGATTTTAATCTTGACAGGTAGTTTAGTTCAATCGTAAAATGCTATTTATTTTGAGTGAGTAAAACAAAACAAAAAAACGTTGTAACATAAAACAGCCCTATTACTGTAACTGCCTATACTATTGGGTACCAAAGTCTTCTTTTTTTCTTCTCTTCTCATTTAACTGGTACATTAAAAGGAGAGCACATAAATCCTGTTTTAGCCTCATCGCAACAACTGCCTATCTATTACTGGGTTCATTTTAAGATAGTTTAATTTGACTTTAAAATTTAATTTAAAACAAACCTAACTCTTTGAGAGTTAACAAATACATTGCCCCTCCCGTTTATTAAGGTCAGCAAACCAGCTTCTTATGGACATAGCGGAAGCTCAGAGGGACAACTGATTCTGTGGCAAAGCCAAGGATTTGGAATTTACTGCTAGTGCACATTAAACAGTTTTTTTATGTGTATTTTTAAATCTGCTATTTTATTATTTCAGAGAAAACTTTTTTTTTTTGATTAAGCAGCTTTATAACATTCTTCTACAGTCTTCTTTTATGTAAGTTTTAATGCTTATGTATTATGTCTGTTCAGCACTTTGGTCAGTTGTGATGTTTTAAAGAACATATAAATAAGTTTGGCTTCTTTCTGATATGAAACTGTTGAACCATGCCCAGACATCGTACTTTATGTTCATGTTAAATGAGAGTAACCGGCTAATTCATGAAACAGTCAGGGAGCCCCATTCCATCTCCTATTAAAAAACTTTTGTTTCTAATCATTACTATCTTGGTGAGTTTCCTTATATGTGAGCTGAGACCTGCTGAGACTCTATGCAGATTGCTCTCAACCGTGACATGAAACAAAGCTTTGTTTCACAGCTGGTGTCAGGCTTATATTATCTAAAGCCATTAAATGTTTTTCTAAAAACACTGGCATTAAGCACCTACTAAATTTCAGTGTATATGTTTTCAGTACAAAAACATGACTGTTAGGTTAATTGGCTTCTCTAAATTCTCCTTTGGTGTAAGTGTGTGCGTGAATGGTTGTTTGCCCTCTGTGTCTCTGTGTTGCCCTGCGATGGACTGGCAACCTGTCCAGGGTGTACCCCGCCTCTCGCCCATTGACTGCTGGAGATAGACAACCAGCACCCCTCGTGACCCAACTCTGGACAAGCATGTCAGATAATGGATGGATGGATGTTTTCAGTAGACACACGTAGAAATCTGCTGGTGACCTGAATTTGAAAATTCAGTTGACAGTGAGGAATGACTGGAAACCCTCTGGCCAGACAATTAAATGTATTGTTATTTTCCAAACTAACCAGATACTACTTGTAACAATGCCGTTATAAGCGGTGGTAGAAATCAGTTACATTTACTCATTTACAGTTACTACAGTAATTGTGTGTGGGGCAATTCTGTGTGGTTGACCCACTGTAATTAACCTGTAAATAATGTGAAAAAAACAACCTTGCTTTAATTTAACATGTACCAGACACATCACAGTCTATGTCTAAAGGAAAACCTGTTAAAAACCATACATTTATGTGAAAATAAAGCAATATATGGCAACCACTCATCCTGAAACTGTTTACTTAGTGTTTTTTGAGCTTCAAAGTCATTTCTTCACCTGGAGCAATTAGCAGCCATAAACATCCTGTACATAGTCACCATCTGCTGGCAGTACTTCCTCACACATTCATTACATTGCCAGCTTCAGTTACAATTATATCCTGCATCAGTGAACACCAACATTCAAATTGTATTCCAAACACTACCCATGTCTTATCCCTCCTGACATCCGAAATATTATGGGCTTTTCTCTTTTTCCACAACTCCACCAGGGAATTTACTTCCTATTCTGGTCACAAGGCCTTATATTGTAAATACCAAATACCTTTAAGTTTACAAACAACTTGAAACAAACAAAGTGTAAAACACAGGAATATAATATAATAAGTTAACAGTGAAGCCTCGTTTGATCTTTTCGCCTTTACATGCAACCAAAGAGAGCTACTGGTGTACTGGAGATTGTTTGAATATACAATATAATACAAATAAAAGTACATAAAAGTACAGTATATTTTATCACTTTTAGTCAGTCAAAATACCTTCATTTGCATATATGTTCTTTAACTAATTGTATGATTTTTATTTATCAAATCAGATGTTGTTGTTAGTGAATTAAAACTTGAGTAGACTTTAATCAACCACTTTTTGACTTAATTGAGGATTTTCTTGGATAGCTACTTTTTACTTTTACTTGAGTAGGTATATGTTGAAGAAGGGTTTATTTTTGAGCACAGATTTTTGAGTACTCTGCTCTTCGACTGAATGAAGAGGATTCAGAGTTTGTGGTATTCAGTATCAGTGTCATTTCTAAAAAAAAAAAAAAGTAAGAGAAGCACCAATCTGTTCAAAGCTACCTATTGTAACAGACTTACATTACCAAACTATCTTATATTGGACATATTGCACTGCAACATTTCTGCATTTGCGATTCTATAAGGCTATGAGACTGTGAGAGAGAGCAAAATATTAAATAATATCAGAGTGCTCAATAGAGTATGACAAAGTTGCTTTGTTTTATCCTTTTGAGCTTTTAAATCTCAAAGCATAGGTAAAGGGTTCTCATTATGTATAGAGGAAACACAAACACTGCTGTTTATTAAAGCAAGTATGCTAACCATCATAATATTTTTTTATGGGAGATATTTAAGGTATTTAAAACCATGCACCCCATAAATGTTTTTTGTTGTTCTAAAAAAATTAGTAAAACTTTGCATCACATTTTCTTTCCCACACAGCTGTTTGCCCTTATCATTGATCCTCATGTACAGTCCTATTCAATAGGTAAAGGCATTTGTTTTGTTAAAAACCGATTTGTCATATTGCAGTATTTAAATAATCTTCAGATTTGTCAATAAGGTCTGTACAGTGACACAAGTTAGCACTGTTACCTTGTAGCCACATCTCTGTCTCCATACTCAGTCAGAGAATTTCTAAATGGACTTTTTGTCTGCATCTCCCTGTTCATGATTTCTTTCCAAATATCCTGTCTCTCTCCAACAGTCCAACAGTATCAATGTAGGACAAAACTCACAATACAGACAATACAGCTAACCGAAGACCTGTTTGACCCATGTGCTTCTGTGATGGACAGGAAGCCTGCACAGGCTATGTTCCTCCCTCACCAATTGACCAGTCAAGATAATCACCAGCCTCTAAATCTCAGTCTGGAAGAATTAAAAGCCAGAGAAGATTAATTATCTCATATAGTTCTTAACGAGAGTTTGGCTAAAAAATAAAAAAAAAGGAAACAAAACAGGAATACGGTTACAAAATTATGACAGCTGCATTCCAGTTTGATTTTTAAAAAATGTCTTTAGTTCTTGTTATCTTTGGAATTAATGCTGCCATTACTGCAGCACTGCTGTTTTTTCCTGTTACCATTTGACACTTTGCCACTTTGCAGCCACAAAGGGGGAAGAAGAACACCACAATGAAGATACTTCTACATGGAGCACAATGGGTAATGAAAGTAAAACTTAGACAGCAGGTAGGTTATTTAATCTGAATCAGTGACAACAAAAAAACTCTCTATATATAAAACTCTCTAATCTCTATATTTATGCATACAAAGAGTTACAGATTTTTTTTTTTATTTACAAGGTTTCAGTTATGTAAATTACTAAACCGATTAATGTGAGAGTTTCTCTGCAATAAAAAAAAACCTGATGTGAGTCGCTGTCCATGGTGCTGAAATGGATGAGCTTTCATTTTCTTGTTTTTCAAAAATTACGCATCTTTTTTAACTTGTATCAACAATCAGGAAATTAGGTCAATTTTGACGCAAAACTGAGAACAAAGGTTTATAAGGAGGAGGATTAGTTTCAAACAATAATCATCTGTTAGCACATGCTGTACCTTTTAAAATTTCTAATGGGGCTTTGCTCACAGGAAAACACACATGGGTCCATTATTTGCTCCTTTTTGTGCAGTGGGCCATTGTGCAGAGGTAACACACTGCCCACTGCTGGACAGCATTAATACCCTTTTTTTTTTTTTTTTTTTTTTGCAGATAATGAAGGTCAAACTCGGAATAACGGAGAATAAGGTAGAATAAATCAGATGTAGAGTATTGTAAGAAAAAGATGGCAGAAAATGTATTTCAAAATTTCATCTTTCAAGTCCAGTTTGCTTTTGCATGAACCATATTTTCATTATTCCAACTACTTACTGAAAGTTTAGAAAGATTCCAATTATTTGTTTTGTTTTTCTTTCTATGCTATGGAGAGCACAGAATAAACATCAAAGTAACCTACTTTAGCTTCAAACTCAGACAGGCGCACCTCCCCTAGAGGTAACAACAGAAAAACTAGATAAAATTACCAGACTCAATTAAATGGAGAGCCACATCATCAGAAACCACAATATATACATGCATGACCAAACTAAAAGAGGTTGTGGCAGTCCTTAAGCTAATTCAATCCATATATCAGGAGCACAACTTCACCAAATATTATTAATCCGGATACCAAAAAAACAAACAAAAGAAAACAAGCTAAGTTGACATTAACAAAAGCTGGTAGCTGATTTAAGCATCTCAACCTGGATGCTGAGGCGGCTCCGCAAGGGGATAGAAATGGATACTGCAGCACAAGAGAACCGTGTGCACAGAAAACTTGCATAGGAGCATTAGGGAGTCCCGCACTGAGCTACCCACCCCCCTCCTTTCCCTCAGCCTCACTGTGTCGCTCCGCTTCAAATCTTGGCAATACCAAAAAATAAAAGGAAAAAAGAAAGTGGATAGTCTCTGATTCATGTATAGAACAATAACCACTTAAGATCAATACAAATTATTATAAAAATAAAAAAAGCCTCTCTTACTGTTCATTAAAGAACCCCAAAAAGTGAACATCCTGTGAGAAAGGAAAAATTAAACTGCTTACCTTCTGTGCAGGATGCTCCACCTGGCAATGAGCTGTTCCTTTTTACGCAGACTCCAAGACACTTTGAGATAGAGAGAAAAAGAATGAGTCTCCTCTTACTTTCTCTTACTTCCAGTTCCAGACCAAATGCATCTAATAGAGCCCAGAAAACACACCTTTACTCTAAGAACATCACCAAATAAACCCTCTCAACCACTGAAATGCACCCCAAGGTTGAAGTACCACAATTTGATAAAGATTTGCTAAAAGGGGAGGGATGAAAACTACACACACTCACACACTGCAGTTTTTTTTTCCTTTTTTTCACCCTGTTTGCCCACTCTCCCACTCGCTTTTTTTCTGGTATCTTTACCCTACGCTGCCTCCCGATTGGTTAAATAGCTTTTCTGTAACATAAGCTCTCTTCTGTAATTGGAAGGCAGTCAGTTATGTGGTGCAACAGAAACCATCCCGCCCAACTCCTCTTATTATTATTTTCTCTATCCTTCCTAAGTGCCTGTGGAGAATGCTGAGCTCTGCAATTTCCTATGCATGAAGCAAAGAATAAAACAGATATGGAGGAGAGGAGGAGAGGAGGAGGTGGGAATAGGAGGAAGAAGAGGAGGAGGGAAAAGGGATGGGATCTGTGATAGTGGTGATGGGGGGGGGTGCACTGGAGGCAAATCGGGATTTTGCAGCAGGACAAGCAGGAAGGAACACAAAGGAGCGGTCTCAGGTGTGGTAAGAGGCAGGTTTGGATGCACTGGCTGGTCCACCCCGCTGCAGCAGTGTGACAGCAGGTCAGATGAAAGGGAGATTTCTCTGCACTAACTGCAGCGCATCGAGGTGGCTCTGCTGCAGTGTGAGTCTTACTGCCAGGCAGGAAGGGGGATGGGAAGGGAGAAGGAGGAGGAGAGCAAGGGATGGCTGCAGTGCTGAAGTCTTCTAGCCTGTCTGTCACATATAGGAGGGAAATAGGGGCCAGTCACCCAAGGAAAAAAGAGCAGTTAATGATTTAAACCAACAAATAATTGAAGCTGCCCTAAAAAGAGAGTTGGAGTTAAGCCTGGTCAGAATGCATTTCTCCTGCTATAAGGCTTCTGATATACTACAAACAACAACACATTTTGGTACAAGTGTGTCCTAAAATAAATAAAAAAAAACATTTTGCAACCTAATTTATCTTGTCTCCCCTGTTTTTTTCATGTGTCCAAAGGTTTTCTGCTCAGAGAAAAGAAATGTTTGGGTTTAATTCTCTGGTGTCAGGTTTCCTCTTCTTCCTCTTTAAAAAACTACATCTGGTCCATTGTGTCCGGGCTGCACTCAAGAACAATGCATGAGCGGATCAATAATGGACCATACAACAGATCGACCATCTGCATCTGACCATCTGAGTACACCACAAGTTGTATATGATGAGTACAGAGTGTACTGAGTCAACACCGTTATGGCAGAGGGAAGAATAGGTAAATAACATGAAATATGATTCTTTGGACTAAAAGTTCAAACAGAAAAATGTCATTCATTGCTTTTAATTGTTTAATTATATAAATATAATAAATATATAAATAAGACCCTGTAGGGTGACTTGCCCCAAGCAGTCCCTTGTGTCAGTTTTTTCCACATCTCAGCCTGTCAAGCTTAAACCATTGCCAG